GGTTTTTTGTTTCGGGGGTGCCGTGGAGAAAGAATTTAGGAAACCGAGCATGTAATAAGCGGAAATCAATACACAGGAAAGGAGTTGTACACGGGTTTGGTAAAGCATTCACCCTTCGGTTGTACATCGACCTGTCGGGAAACTCGAAAGTCTCCCGCAAGCGTCCCCTCTTAGGTTTAGGTCGACATTTGGCTTTGGCCTTGCTTGTTCGGTTTTGGCTCATTCTTTAATATGTTGTATCTTGCCATGTCTGCTCCGTCTGTTGGTATAACATATATGTCTTCTCTGGCAATAGCCAATCAAGAGGCCAAAGCTGGAGCCAAGCCAGCACACCGGGCGAGGAATCCCTTACTTGTTCGGCTGGCGGATGCCGTTCTTGCTCTTTATGAAGATGCAGATGCAGTATAATACGAGAATTTATAAGCCAAGTTCGGTACACCAAGCCGTTACACAAATCTCTTTGTTTCAAATAGGTTATCCCATATCGGCCGGCCAATCAACAAAGATCTGAAGAATGACCACTTTTTGAGCCTACGAAAGGAAATTCCATTAGAACATATAACAGAGGCGTGAATGGGGGAATACGAAACCATAAGGAGGAATTCATAGAACTTCATATTCTACTACCCGAAGGAGGAGGTATATGGCAATAGCCAAGTTTACGATAAAAGAATAGGACAAAGGTATATATTAAAAGTCTGAAGTCAAGGTAGCAAGACGGTATGAAATTGTTACACGAGCAAGCTAAGTCCATTAGAGTTCATTTAGTTGAGCCTTTAAGAGCCATGCGAAAGCAATATCATGAACGTACGAGAGGAAGATGAACATGCTCCAAGTAGGCTTTTTTTCTACTTCTTATATCTTATAGTTATAGTAGCTCCGTGGATCCGCCCTTCGAGCGATGGTATAAGGAAAATTTTTTTTCCAGAAAGCACATGAAAGAACGAAATAAAGAACGTACCGAAGGAGCATGGGGTTTCGGGGGGGACTTACGCTTTTATTAAGCTTTAATACTCTTTGTCTTAGGCTTTCCCCCCTATGCTAGTTACTAACTTAGGTACCTAGCCCAGAATCCGGAATCCATCGAAAAAATCAAAGATAGTAATGCATTCTTAGAACATATCAGCAAATCAGCTACGTTACCCTTTTTCGCTTTCACGATTTCTATCTTTGTTTCGTTTCGCTTTTTGTTGTTGTTGGTTCCCATTTCATTTTTTGAGAAAAATATATCTTGTTTTTTCTTGCTCTTCTTTTAAATCCTGGTCTTGTTTCAATTGTAGTTCTTCGGTTGAGTTCGTTCTTTTATTCAAATACATCCGGTTAGCTCTCTGCTCGGGATGCATGGGCTGGGCGTCCGTCCTTCATCCCCATCCTTTATGTTATGTAAAAAGAGACTTCCCCTCCCACTCTCCAATATAGGGAACCTCTATCGAGCATCTCACATCTGTCTGTATCGTCGGTCGTATTTCTTTAGTAAGAGGACGTGTTAAAGCAATAAATATCAGAGATCTCAGGCGAGAGGTAGATCCACATGCGAAAAAATTTTTTATTTCATAGGGGAATGATACCTTACTTAAAATAAGGAATTAGTAAAATATGCCAGAAAGAAAATAGAGGAGCGGGGCGGACATCGGCACGTGCGTGGAGGCTAGGGCAGGTAAGTTCACATAAGGGTCTGAGCTCATATGTCGTACTCTATCATTGGCATGGGCGGCATCGATTCATTCGATTACGTTTTACTCTTCAAAATCCATCTATGGATTTCCGTAGCTGGTTACAAAAAAATCCACTTTTATTCGATATCCGAGTCGAGCTGGGATAACTTTGATTATATGATATGCCCTCTTTCTGAGCCAAGAAGGCATGTTTTCGCGCTTTCATATAGAGAGGAGCCCTCAATAATATACTTTATTTCACGCCTATAGAAGAAATTGATAAATAAGTAGAGGATGATGATTTGAATGGGGATTTACAGAAAAATTTCCATTCTTATTTGAGTACCTAGGGAGGGAAGGATCCCGAGCGTAGAGCAAGAAGAGTAAAGTAAGAAATAAGAGTTATATTGGCACGTACTGGAAAAATCTATCTTTGTTTGGTCAGTACATCAGCGAAGCCTTTCCCGTTCCCTCTTTTTCAAATCATTCTTTTGCCAGTTGTTGTTGGAAACATAGGAAGGCCAGGGGCCCCCTGTATTTAGAATTTCGTATATATAGGCATCCTTATTAGTTTAGTCCAAACTAAACTGGAGTTAAAACTCTGGTAGCGAGGTCATATCTCTGTCTCGAGAAAATGCTTTCTTTTGGCAGGGTCGAGGGGGTCTCACAACCCTCGAAAAAGGACTCTCTTATTGGCGTGGAAATAAAAAAAAATCCAATGCAAGTATGGCTTTCAAGCTTGTCTCCCTGTTGCCTTAAGCCTGGAGACCGGGGGCGCTTAGGACCAGAGGTGCTTGCAGACCGGAGGTCGCGGCTGCTTGCTTTCTAAGGTAAGGTACGAACTAGTGCTGGTAAGTGAACGAACCTGTGAATTCTCGCGGCAGGCGTTCTCGAGGTCTTTGGTCCAGTTCAAGCAAAGGAAGGACAGACTGGACTGTTCCCTCGTGCTTCTCCCTTTGGGGGTGAAAACCTTCCTGACCGGAGTTCACTCTACTTCTCCTGGCGGGAAGTACTTGTTCCCTTCACCAACCAATCTTCGGATTCAAAAATCGTATGTATATAAGCATAGAAAGCGCACCGTTTTGATATGGCAGTTGAAAATAGATCTGGAGAGTTGCTCACTCCAACGAGCCTAGGTGGACTTTGTCCACTTCCTATCAACCCGGACTTGAAGAAAAGAAAACGGTGCCCACGAGACGGCTTATGGTGTTTCACAGGAAAGTCTGTTGGGCAGCAGAAACTCACTCCGTAATTAAGATCCTGAAGCGCTTGTCCGCCTTCAATTTTTGAAGGTAGGTTGCTTGACATACTGTGACGGTGGCTCCATACGGGATCGATCTTCTTGTCATATTCGTTTAATAACATTCTGACTCAGAATAATTTCTCTTGCAGTTTTCAAGCCAATCGTTTTCTCGCTCGGAGCTGAATGAAGGTATTTCCTTTGGCTAGATGTAGTGGAGTGACGCGAAGTTCCTTTCAAAAGTTTTTTTTTATAGCCTTATTCCGGGGGTCGTGGAAGAATTGGGTTCGACTCCCATAGCCCCGATGTGGCGAAAAAGACTGATTCAACGAGATACGCCGTGCCTGCATTAAGATTTAAAACTTGTCGTCTACTTTCAGGAAATGTTCGGAACAGAGAACTTACAATAATACAACGCCGCATTCTCCGAAGATTGAGGAACAAGAAGAGATCCATTAAGAGAAAGATTTATCCGAGAAAAAATCTTAACAGTTACATCCAATCACAAACTACACGAAAGTTGCCCCTTTTTCATGGGGATTTACCCATCACAGAGATGCACAGAGGAACAGAGCGAACTTCATATATCCCTTTTCCACTCAATCCAGAAACAAGATCGGACGTTATTCCGGTTCGTCTCCATTTTTGTGAAACTATTCCTCAAGCAAGGCAGCCGATAAGTCATGGAAGGGTTTGTGTGAATAATGGAATGGTAAGCATTACTCATTTTAAAGTGTCCCACGGTGATCTAATATCTTTTCAAGAAAATGACGCGAGAATCCGCGGTGAAGAAATAAGGAGATCTTTCTATATCGAAATATCAGTTGAAAAAATCATAGGCAAATTCCTGGATCACCCGGTAAGAATGTGGAGAAGAACAAAAGCTGAATGGTTCCACCTACTCAAAACTCACAGGGGATGCCGCCTACTACTAAAATCCCGGTTTTTGCGACAGTTGCGTTCTTCTATGCAAGAAGAAGACTTAGAAAGAACAAAGAAGTTTGGATCCGAAAAAGTATGCTTAGGCAGTTCCTTCGCTGAGCACAACAGAATGAAGAGGAATTTGTATCATTTCAAATCCCTATTCTTATCGAACAGAAGGAACAAGAAAAACCGAAATCTTCCTACTCGAACAAGAAGTCCTATAGTTTACAACTCTTCTTTATATAGAAATTCGACCTATTGCTCCGCATCCCCCCATCAGTTTACTATGAAGAGAAGAATCAAAAGGATTGAACTACCTACTCATTAKTCGGAGGTGAATCATAGAACACTAAAAGCTGTGGTATCTTATGGACCTAACATAGGTCACATCCCTCACGACATAAGATTGAAAGATCTAAACCTTCMTCTTCGGAGCGGAAACGGACGTGGCCAAAACATATAAAGATCGGCGCAGTCGCTCATAGGGGCATATCTATCCGGATAGAGGATAGTCTAGATCGATTCATAGATAGATTTCTATCCGGTATCTCCGTGGGTAGAGATAAAGATAGGGATCCATCTAGATCTTGATTCACTATTTCCTTTTTTTTTCTTGATTCTGATTGATTGCCTTTTTGTGACGACAAGTTTTAAATCTTAATGCAGGCTGGAAACATCATTTTTCAATTATTACTTGCTGGGTCGGAGCGTAGACGAGCGAGTAGAGCCCAGGAAACTGGGAAGCCCGTCATTGAGCAGGCGACTAGAAGTAGAAGACTGCTGGCCTGAGAGAAGGCGGCCTCTCCCGGAAAACATGGCCCAATTTCTCTTCTTTCTTTTTTTTTCGGGTTTCTTTATTTTTTCAGGGGCCCAGAACGCTAAAGGGTAGGGGAGAAGCAAGCCGAACCTCTGATCGACCTGGACACATAAAAAATTCTCGGCGTCGAGAGAGATTTGAGATTCCATAAGTAACTTAGTGCAACATGGCAAATTTCATTGAGAGGAATCAGCAAAGAAAAGAAAAACGGGTCAACATCTTATTAAGATTTGATGGTTGCATTACTGTGAGATGCCCAAAGACTCCCGTGCCTTTCTTGGTTGGACCAACCAGATTTCCACAAGTCTTTCTGTTATAGCAAAAAGAAAAAGCGGAACTACAAGTGAATCTTAATAAAAAGCTTATGATGAGCATCTATTTGAGTCGAGCATTTCCAAGATCTAATTCAAGTTTTTTCTTATGTAGTGGAAATGCCTTACAATCTGAAGTTTTACGCTTAAGGGAAGAAATGTTCTTGGTGGATGCAGGACCTGGGACCCCCAGAATTTGTATGCAAGATGAGCCTACCGGAGTGCCAATCAACCGAGCCGCCAGGTTTGAGAATAAGGTGGGATCCCTGAATGTAGTGGCCGGTGAATCACTGATCAAAAAGCAGATTTTGGAGAGATTCTTCATCGATGTAGTGGCCGGTGAATCACTGATCAAAGAGCGAGCAGCCGCCAGGTTTAATGATTTGGTGGGATCCACAGATGTAGTGGCTGGTGAACCGCTTCTTCTTCTTCCGCGAAGATTCAGACAAAACCGAGCTTGGATGGAACTGAACAAGATTTGGCGAACGAATACAAAGGTAAAGGGCTTTATTATTGCGAAAGTAAAAGGAGGTTATTCAGTAGCCATCGCGGGTTTCATTACTTTTCTTCCATTCCGTCCAAAAATAAGAAAAAGGATATCGAATGATCGATTCACCATTGAGAGGATTAACCCCAAAAGGACGAATATTGTGGTGTTCTAACAGCGGCAGATCAAACAAGAACTTTTTTTTTTTTTGGATGTATCGTGCAACTAGGTAAGGAAGAGACTGTTTAAGGTCACCAACGAACCTAAGCACACGATCCATATCCTTAATCGGAGTGATGAACGGTTCAAAAGTATTCTTTGATATCTTCTTTGCAAGGATAACAATCCGATACAAAGAAAATACAGAAAGATAAAACCGAACGCATTCATCAGCCCGAGGACCACCACCGTAGATCACGCGACAATGGAACGCGGGAATTATACGAGGGTACCCTCGACGAGTCAGAGATACTGGAACAGACAATAGTTCAGGTTCACGACGATCGCCACCATAAGCGATCATCAGTGAAGATGAACACTGCTTCAAATATAAGGCAGTGGACAGAAATCCTGAACGTCTAACTAAGCTCAGTACTCTTCGAGCGAATAGGTGAGTGGCAATACAGTACTCCTTAGTATAACCGTCGAATAGTATCAATTGGACCTTAGAAAGAATCCCCTTGATGCTACGAAGATCTTCTAAAATCTTCTGCCACTGTAGTGGCTTAAGTCGGAGTACAACATCGAATAACCGTGTCATGATACAACGATTACTTTGCAGAGTTTTGTAGACATGCAAGAATGAAAACCTCGTTCTTTGCTTTACGAAGTTCCCACTGTAAGAGAGTTACCAAACTCATCTCGTGTTACATGTCGCGGGGTTTGCTCCACGCCCCACGTTGTTGTAGATAACAACGTGTTATCCGATGGTACAAGACGAAAGACGCTACAGACTCATCCACAGGGTACTTCATCATGCGAGATCCTAGAATGGCACTTAGTTGGTTACTAAGGCGTCGTCCTGGTGAGTCTACCAAACCCACAAGAACAACGTGTGGTTTCCAATGGTATATCTATAGATATTCGCCATATCTATAAACCACCATTGGCGCCACAGGCACATACTAACCACGACTGTGTCCGGAAGACACAGAAGCGATCAGCACGACGGAGGGTACCACCCCCCATCCAAAGGACAGAGTCCTTCGGCGCCAGAACTTATTTGTTTCTAAATGAATTTGTTTCAACAACAGATCCTTGTCCGTGCGTGGAAGGAGGAGAGTTGTAGCCGGATCGAACTCCCTTGACCTCTGAAGCGCTTGGACATAGGATTTCCGGCCTTTGGTCGCGCCTTGACATCTTTCAGTGGGTCGCCCCCACTCCACCTCTGTCTGTAGTAAGCGCTCTCGGCTTCTATTCGGGGGGTGGGTGGATGGCCTTCATCGTTTCCAGGTAGGCTGGGTCGATCATAACTCCCTTGACTGACCTCTTTAATTGGGTCGCGGTCGGCCCTTTGTAGTAGGGTGGGTCGCGCTATCGAGAAGCTTTCCCTGCAAACAGTAGTACTCCCCGCCTCCGGGCAAGTAATCCCACGGCCGAGGTTTCCAGGTTAAGCTCTAGCTGGATGATCACTGGAGAAGTTGCCCATGGAATAGAAGTTTTCGGGTCCGTCCTTACCCCTCTTCATATCCTAAATATCGAGTACCTAAGGGCCCTTTCCGACCGACCTCTTTTCTAGGTTTCCGGCCAGGGTGGTAGTGCTTTTCCAACCTATTCCTCAAAAGAGAGGTTCCTCCTCTATCCCTTCAACCTTCTCGGGAGGCGGGATGCCCCATAAGCGCTTTTACCTTTCCTCTTTTATACACCTTCCCATCCATCAATGAAAAAATTAGTTATTACGTATCTAAGGAACTCGACCCCAACGCATCTATCCGACCGAAGCCGACCATTGAACCTCCAAAAACAGGACCGGGTGCTCCTGTCTTCTCTTCCCAATGGGAGGAATCACCCTGATAGGAGCATCTGTAGCGGCATCAGTAACGGGGGAAAGAGAGGCGGAAGGCGCCCCGATAGAGAAGGTGAAACCTTCCAAACAATGAAAAAAATCCGTCATTGGGGATAACTTCGAAGCTTATCGGGCCTCCTCTTGTAAGCTAGCTCCATTCGATCGATCGCTTCCGTTCGGAATAGATTAGTTGGGAATTGGATGCTCTGCAGTGAAGGGCCTAGCTGCTAAAGCAGTTGATCCACTCGATAGGGCGGGAAACGGATAGAGATGAAGATGCAGAGTCTGATGCGCCTCTCATCCCGGTGAAGAAGAGGTGGGTTTCCTGGGCCCCTCATTGGGTCGGAGCTTCCTATCTCTCATTCGTTCCCCCTGGAGTAAAGTAATCGGAATCAGGGTTTGGTTCCGGTGGCCTCATATCTCCTACCCAATTTGAAGGCGGGTCAATGGGCATTAGATACGTGATAACACTTGTGGTTTCGGCGAATCGCCTTCACTCTCGGGGTTCAGTACCCGCCTCTTGGTGTCCAATACCCAGTGATGGGAGAAGGAGTGGGAGACGAAGAGAGAGAAGATGGTTGCTTAGCAGCGGAAGCTGGGGATCGAGAAGCGGAGGGAGAGCTTAGGCTTGAAATGGAGCTGGGATACCGGTATTTTTCCCTCCCTGGATCCGAGTCTTTCTCTTCTCCTGGACCGAGCACCGAGACCGAGGAAAGAGAGGCTGGATACGAGTCTGATGAGATCAGAGCCAGTGAAGAGAAGAGGGAAGGCTTACTCTGCTAGGCTGGCTTGCTTGTTCGACTAGAGCACATAAATAAGGTAGCTTGCTTACTTAGTGCGAAACGCTAAGGCCAATTAAGCAACGTTAATGGACCGCTCCCCATTACTGACGCTTTCACAGGGCTTCTTTTTAGATAAAATAGGCCATAGAAATTCACTCATAACAGAAGCTAGAGGACAGTATTCGTAGGACGGTATTCGTGGACGGATGAGCGATTGGACCGCCTATAGGACAGTTACTGGACAGATGCGACCGTTACCAGTTGACAGATGACAGGCAGAAGAGCGGGAAGTCGCTCTATTTAAAGGACGGGAATTGCACATTAAAGGAAGGGAATCGTGTACTGAGCTAGCCTGCCTTGAACTTGAAGTAGGTAGTCTCTCCTATATCTGATAGCTTTAACTGGCCACTACAAAGAAATTGCCATAGATCGAAACTTATTCCAGGCTTAGTATCCCCGGATAGACCCTATAAAAGAAGACGAGTCATAAAGGCAAATATCTAACAATTTCAGGGGGGCACATCCTAACTGAATAGTACTCGCAGGTTCTCTTTTCCATATGTTCTTCCCGATGCCCTATCCGACAGCCGTTAACTGCCTTGCAGGGAATTCCTTACTCAAAAGTATGAGAGTGCGGCATAGCAAGAGTGAATCCTCCCACCTCCCTCTAACGCTTATCTCTTTTCTTGCTTCCTTGCTTTAATCCAATAGGCCGAATTCCTTGCTTGCATCCCTTTGATTGCTTAGTATCTCCTCCTTGCGCACTCTTCTGGTACAAAGCAAAGGACTGGACTGAAAATTTTGTATATAAAGAAGAGTTCTGTCTTTCTTCATTCAAGTAAGATAGTTTATCGAGAAACCTCCGCCCAAAGGCGCTCTTTTGAAAGCCGGTCACCGGTGGCTAAGAACCTTTCCTCACTCTAGAAGCCTTCAACAAAGGCCACTTGATTTTCTTGTTCGTAAGGGGCGTTGTATATCTATATTGGACTTTCGATTTTGCGTTGTTTTTTTCACGAGGTTTTGTATATAATCCAATGTTCAGTGAGATGACTTTCCTACTGACCGAATCGCTTTTTTTAGTTGAAGGAAACGAGGCTTCCGGCCCGGCTGGTCCCACTGGAGAGGAGAGTTTTGACTGCGAGGGGCGCGTCTGATGGTATCGTATATAAGATCACGGCTGCATTTAGGAGTGATCTTTCCCTCTTCAACAAGCCGGTGGTGATCTCACTTTCGAAAGATAGTCTCGACGTGGCGGTATACACCTAGCTCCATAGCGGAGCTAGTCATTGGCTACTGGTTTCTTTCCTACCGGACCGGAGGCGGCCGAGAATGTTATGTCAAAAGGACCAACGACGATGGGAGAAGGAGTAGGAGCGGTATGCTCAAAATAGAATGAGAATGATTACGAGATAGAATGGATCTCCTTGAATTCATTCATCACGTTTTTAACGTGGATAACGAGGCGCTGCTGCAGGCGGCAGATCCACAACATACTGCAACTCACGAGGCGCCGCCGCAGGCGCCAGCACCGGCTGAAGTTGCCCACCCCGCTCCCGATCAAAACGAGCATGCGGCACTTCTAAGGGACATTCACACTTTGATTCGGGAGCTACTTCGCGAATATTGTGCAAAGGGGAAAGGGCGGCTGTCCGCGCACTCTCCGGAAATGACGGAACTATACTCCAGTAGCGCGAAGGCAATAATGTCTTACGATCTGGATATCCCCGCGGAGACGTCGGCAGCCGACCTCCGCAAATGGAGGGAGAATATAAGGGGGGACCCTAATCTCCTAAAGCCACTCATAAAGGAATGGGCGTAGTCTGCCTGCTCTTTCATAACAGAGCCGTTATTCCCGGCTGGCATAGAAGTCTCTCGCGCGGGCGAAGGAGATGCATTTCTGGTACTGGACAAGCTCTCAGGGAATAATATCTTTCTTATTTCTGCCTTTCTTTCCCATGACGACTAGGAACGGGCAAATAAAAAATTTCACTTCGAATTCCGGACCTCAACATCCTGCTGCTCATGGTGTTTCACGATCAGTATTGGAAATGAACGGAGAAGTGGTGGAACGTGCGGAACCACATATTGGATCACTCCAGTGCGGCACGAAGCCGCTGACGCCGAGTCGGCTCCTATGCCACTAGCTATGCCCTGCTTGGTCCCCCGGCACGGTGGAGATTCCGTAGCGCGTCATGAGCACCGGGCTAAGGGGCGGTTGAGCAACTCAAGCGAACCGCTCTACCTTACTACAACATAGGGACAGAAGGGAGAAGGTTGTGAAGGTGGCCTCGTTATCCATACCTCCGGTCGGATGAATGGAGGACCGACCGACCCGGGTTTTCACGAGCGTTGGCGGGTCCTGGAGTGCCTGTCAAGGGCGCTAGCGCA